CCCCACCTACAAGAGGCTCTCGGTACGACTCCCTCCATAATCGCTCCCAGCGCAGCTAAGTTCTCACACGACCCCCCTTCCCAACAACGACCAAATACGACCCTGCCCCTCCCCAGCGGCCAAGTAGGACCCCCCCCCTCCATGTGTTTCATACAACGATGCTGTACCCTGTCCACACTTGCGGTGGAGGTCAATTGTCTTTGGCAAGGTGGAACTGTAGATGCGGGAGTCGATGGTGGATGCAATACTTCTTCCCTGCCCAATTTGAATTGGAACTGAAAGATGGTCAGAATTTGTCACTTGCCTCTGTTAGTTTCGACCTCAGCTTGGAAGACCATTCTAAAACAAATTCGATCGAGCGGTTGGATAGAGCGAGAGCGCTTCAGAATTATATAGAATGTGGCAAAAACCTAACAAAGAGTAGTTCAGGAAATAGCATTTGACTTTGAAGCACCAGAATTCGTAAGAGCTCCCTTCACAACTAACAGTAATAGTATTTGCTTGCTAGGCAGAAAATTCGACGTTGTGGCGATCGACGCATGCGACAACTACCCACACATGCCTTGCCCTGCGGAACCGTTTCGAAGTGGAAAGTTCTTAGAAAAGTTAAGGGAAGTGATGACAGATAAAGGTGAGTCGCTATATTTTATCTTAAAATGTGCAGTTGTAAAGCAAAGGGATTACAGGCACGCTAATTGTCAATTTACTCACTACGCCAGGACTGAGCAAATCTGAGTGGAATGAGGTGAGCACTCTGTAAATATTTTCACTACTTCTTATCAGTGATTTATTAGGGAGAAAATAACATAAGAACAAGAAATGGGAGAAGAAAGAGTAAGCGAAGTTAACAGCCAAAGCGGAGCTTCCGTAATTCCCATTGCGGCCCGGAATCGACGTAGGCTTTCCTGCATACATTCTGCCGCTTTTAAAAAAATTTCGCGAAATCGAAATGGGCGGAAACAGAGAACCATAGGGGTTTCCTATTGGTGCGCTTCTCTTTCTATGGCAGTAAATAGAAGGAGCCGTTCCGATGAAGTAGTGCTCTGTCTCCGC